AAAGCTGGACAGGACCTAAGAAAGACAAAACCAGACACATCTTAGAATAAAAGAAGACAAAACCTGCTAGAGGGATTGAAAACAGACAGCATGCACGTCCAGGCCAAAGTATGGTTAGAGGCAAAGCACGGTCTACATCCACATTTGCAGTCATGGAGATTAAGGACCTGATCCCTGTGAGTGACCGACCTGCTGCTGCCCTTCGCATCGTCCAGCTCGTTCTGCAGCCTGGCACTCTTCTCCTCTTCCTCCTGGAGCTTCCTCTTCACCACACGCAGCTCCTGCTGGGCCTCGCACTTGATGTCATTGGCCACCACCACTGCAGTCTGCAGATCGGCTTGAAAACGCCTCCACTCCTCTGTATCCTCCTAAATGTGGCAGATACACCAAAGCTGAGCATCAGGATGGATGGACCCACTAGAGTTGGGTGCATTACATGTGACTGATTCCTTCATCAGTAATCACTGATGGAGGCTGTGAAAGGCCTCAGAACAGTCCTCAGCCTGTTTTAGATGCTTGGCACTCAATAAAGGTGTGACGGGATGGCCACGATGGAAAGTGAGGGGGAGCAGGGCTCATTTCCGTTTCACATCAACAGCTACATAGCACCGGGAATTCCAAAGTGGGGAAAGCACCACCAGGCCTCTGGATCTTTTAAGACCATGGCTGCAAATGAAAGGGACACTGGTGCTCTTCCTCAACTGCTTCAAACACTCGCTTACTTGCTCCCCCTTTTGGGGACAAGATGTGCTCTGACACACAGGAACCAGGTGATGCTGGCAATTCTAGACCCTGGTATGGGCATCTTTATGGCCACTAGCATTTTTTTATGGGAATGTAGTACTTTGTGGGTATATTTATTCCAGGAGTTGCTTCTGGAGACTAAGGGCCATGTCAGCACACAGATCTCCTACTGACGCCGGAGGCTGTGTGCACGTGGGCTTTTTCGGAGCACAGACACAAAGCCACGTTTTCTTTAGGTCTGTAGCAGAACTTTAGCAGGCTTACTCTATCACCAACTGCAAATGGGCTTTGCTTGCCATGACAGTCAGCGATCTGTTATTGAAGAACTGTTGTGTTATCTTCTGCGTGTGCAGGGCTTTGGAAAGGCAATATGCCAAGTGATAATGATTATTCTTACTTGTTTGTAAAGGAACACTTTTGAGATGCCAAAGTAATAGGTTGATTCCTTGGTGCTGGCACAGGCACCTGTACTTGGCAGTGCTGGACCCAGTCAGATATAACTTGGGTGTGTTATTCTGTGTCTGACAGAGGGCAATGGCATCTGATAAGAGACTGCCACCTCTTAACAAGCATACTGACAGAAGCTATCCAAGCCAAATGGTAACAAAGCGACTAGACCAGTCTCTACCGTGTTTTCCCCCTTTAGCCAAAGAATGGGTCAAACGCAGCTGGAACCGAATAGGAGAGTGAAAATGGGGTGCACAGGTGTGTTTAGGTGTTTTGATAGCCTGCAAATGAGACTCTTGAAGCAGCATGCGGTGCCTCTGGCAAAGCTAGCCTTCCAGGGAAAGCGCAGCTGGAGCCTTCACCCGGGTGAGGAGCATGAGCCTCACCTTCATCTGTTTGGTCAGAGCCTTCAGCTGCTTCTCCTGATCCTGCTTTTGCTCTTCCAGTTTCATCACTTTACCTGGGAATAGTCAGGAGGGAAAATACGATGAGTGGGATGATCACAGAATCACAGACAATGATGGAGCAATCGTTGATCACAGAATCATAGACAATGGAAGGGACCTCAGGAGGTCACATCTAGTCCAACCCCCTGCTCCAAACAGGACCAGCCCCACCTAGATCATTCCAGCCAACACTTTGTCTAGGGCAGCCTAGGAAAAGGGCGAAGCAGCATTCTAGGTTATGCTTGCAGGAACAGAACTGGAGTATTAAACTGAATAAAACTCGCTGTGTCCAGCTGTTAGTATACCAGGGACAGAATCAACAGTGAATATGAAATGAATGGCCAGCTCCTGGACATTGTCCAAGACACGGGAATTACTAGGATCAAATGCACGGTATGTATCCACTAGGTACTTTCAGTTTTCCATAAAGCACTGCAAGAAGCAAAGGGTTTTTGGGGACTTCTTTTATTGAACCAACCATATACAGTTTTAAACGGGTAATAAGTGATGTTGCCAAAAACCCCTTGCTTATTGCATGTTTCCTGGACCATCAACCCAGCAACACTGCAACCGTATAACACAGGCGGGAGAATAGAGGCTCAGGCCACCAGGTGGCACTTTCCCATTCCCGTGCCTTGAAAATTAATAATAGCCGCTAAGTTATAAGTGCTTTTCATCAGTAAGTCTCACAAGTGCTCTACAAAGGAGGTCAACATGCCCAGTTTAAAATCCAGCATCTTGGGCTGGGTGATCCTCCTTTCAGCTGGAGGTTACCAACATGAAAATCCCCCATTTCAGTTATTTCTGCAGGCTGCATCTGAGCCCTTCCCCCTGTACACATTTGCCTGAGCTCTGCGTCTGCTCCACCTACTCTCCAGGTCCTTGATGAGCTGGTTGTTGTGTAGCTTGATGGCACGGTGCTGCTCCACCTGGTCTTCCAAATCAAAGATGGTCTCCTTCAGGTTCTTGATCTCGGCCTCGTACTCCAATGTTTTCTCTTGCAGCTTCTGGCTGGTTCTGGTGAGCTGCTCGGCCTGCCGGTCACACAGCTCCTTCAGCTGACTGTACTCTGTCTCCACCTGGAAGGAATGAAAGCAAGCTGCAAAACCCACCCTTGTTTCTTAAATGAAATCACTCTGCACCACAGCAGATGTGGCCTGCTGAAAGCTGCAAACCCACAACCCCACAACCCCACCGATGAATCGCATGTTAAGAGAGTGGTGGAGAAAAACTGGAGCCTAAAAGAGAGCTGTTTTATCCAGATTAACATTTCCCTGCTGCCACTCTGGATCATCAAAATCTCTCTCTATGTGGAATTACTGAAGGGGTGAATGCACACAGTCCTGTGAGCTGCCCCTAGGCACGGGCGTCAAGAGCACGCATCCATGGACCGTGGAAGTGAGAGACTCTCACCAAATGGAAAAAAGTGGATTATGCAAAAGCAAGGTAGGTGCTGCCCGTTCAGTGAGCAGCACGGGCAGGGCCTGGCTGCAGAAAAGCCTTCAGGATCCTGTGGTCTTGCTTGGGTGGCACAAAGGTGCAGCAACACGAAACAACCTAACTTGACGGGAGGGAATCTGTGGTTTCAAAACCCAGCAATAAAAATTTAGGGCAGAGTCCAAGCACTGGACAGGTTTTACATTTATTCTTCATACAGATCAGCCCCAGCAAGAAATCCAAAGCCCCTGGGAGCCTCCCCACTTGCTGTGGTCACCTATGCAGGCTGAACAGACATCTGGATTTCCTAAATCACCCTGGGGCAGGAGGTGCTTTTTGGCACTGCTCTCTTCCTCTGCAACTAGCCAACTCTATGGTTCTTCCCACGATGCCCTCCCCCCGCCAGGAACCGCCGTAGATGCTGTTTGTTGCTCCCCTGGCAGTGCAGGATGTTAATCGCTATCGCGCGTTGTAGTTACGCTTGCTCGGTGACAACCCGCCGAGCAGCTACGTTCTCAACACCTGGGTCCAGATAATTGCACCATTGATGACAGCAGACTGCCGGGGGGCTGCGAGCACAGGGAAAGCCATGTGTGAGGAGGAGAAAACTCATGAAAAGAGGCAGCGGCATACTGTCTTGGATGCAGCAATATCAGCAAGTGAAACCAGTCATCCCATAAGTAAGACAAATGACATTTAAGAAGAAAGCGACTGATCAAGCCAACGAGTCCATTCTCCTGCCAGACAGGATTTAGGCCTCATATAACTCTAACCAGAAGCCTGTAGGTTTGCCAGTGTGCTATGCGATACTTCCTCCCATGAATTTAATTAAGATACTACAAGACAGGCACATTCTTACTTTTACAAAACATCTCGTTTTGGGCTTGACCCTGCACCATGAAGTCAACTGACTCAAAGGCATCCGGCCATTTCTTTCTCATGCGTAGTGACATTTGTGGGATCTGTAGTCAGGGAATTCATGATTTGATAAACCAGCTGTCTCCACCATTTATCCCGAACGTAACATTTGTCCTTCACTAACCCTCAGCAATTGAGTTTGCCTTGATTACAGAGCTGGGTTAAATAGCAAAAACATTTTCAGATACATTTCTTCAACAAAACATTTAATTCACTTCGAGTGTTTGCTCGGTCCCCGACTATTCTAGTAAATGCATTTGCTAGCAGGAATTGATGTGAAAACAGTGAATTTTAAGCCAGATACTACAGAAAGAAAATGTTGCATCTGTAAAAAGAACTATTTATGTCAAAAACTATTCTAGGAGTTTATACGTGTTTCTGTTTTCTGAGTAAGCAATATCATGTGATCTGTGCATGCCATCAAAACTAAGTCGCATCTCTCAGATACCAAATCTTGAATACCATGAATTGCTCACAAACAACCTAGCAAGGAGGGATTATTCAGCTGGCAAATTCTGAACAGGCAATACATTTTAAATCCCCTAAAATCATCTGCAGATCATTTGTCACCAGAAAAGAAGGCAAAGTTCATAGACTTGATCGCTCACTAGAGCTTATTCATTCACCTCTACTTTATTACTGGTGTTTGGTGCCTGAAGACACCTCTGTTTGGTGCAGGGAAAGAGGGCACACAGCATAAAAGTGTAGCGCTCTTCTTGCCTTACCTTGGCCAGCAGCCCCTGGGCCTGTTTCACCTCGCTGCTTGCCTTCAACAGCTCTTGCTTGAGCTCAGTGCAAGCCAGCTCCAACTGATCCTTCTCTGCATGGGCCACTTTCAACATCTCCTGCACCTCAGAGTTGTCAGTAGTACATCCTACCGCACTCATCTCTGCAGCCTTCTGTTTCTCACTCTCTAGCTGAGTTTTGAGGGACCCATTCTCAATCTTCAGGCCTTCTAAGGCGATTTTACAGTCCTCCAGAGTCTTTGTCACCATGCTATTGCTCTGCCGTTCTGTTTCTAGAAGCCTACCGAGCTTCTCGTTTTCCTCTCCCAGGCCCTTGATCACCTCCTGGGCATCTTGGTGTTCTCTTTCTAAGCTCCGTAAGCTACCGGTTAACTGCTGCTGGATGTTCAGCAGCTTCTCTCGTTCAAACTGTGCTTTCTCGAGCAGTTCTGTGCATTTCTGCTCCAGCTCCAGGACCTTCCCCTCCTGCACTTTGGTTTCTTCGCTCTTGGTTCGCTCTTGGAGGAGCGACATGAGCTTTTCGTTTTCTTGACTCAGCTGCTCTGTTCTCTCTCTGTGCTGATGGAAGGAGTTCTCCAGGAGAGCCTTCTCTTCCACCAGCTTCTCGTTTTCTGCCGTCAGCTCCTGCACCATTTGCTGCTGGTCGGACAGTTCTTGCAAAGTGGCTTGCAGCTCCTCTGCGGTGCTGTGATGGTTCTCCTCCATTTTTTGTATCCTCTCAGTCAGCGAAGCCACGGAAAGGTCGCTGATGTTATTTGGAGAACTCCCTGAGGTGGAGCACCTGGAACCCTTGAAGGGGTTGCTGTTTGAGGACACTGGCCTAGAAGGTATATCTGCTATATGTTCAAAATCAGATGCATCGGGCGACAAGGAGGCTTTAGTCACGTCACTGCTAGAAGAACCCGAGTTGCGTAAAGCTCCTCCGTGTGCACGATGCCTGGCCTCATCAGGTTCACCTCTTACTAGGTTTTTCGTTGGGCTTCCAAAACTTGACTCCTGGGTGGTTGGGGTGGGGAGACTGCTGTCCCCTCCGCTGCTCGCCGTCGTGTCCGAGAGAGGGGAGTTCTCCAGATAAAGCAGCTTCTCTTTCAGAACGCGGTTTTCTTCCCCCAGGCTAGCAAGCTCTTTTTGAAAAGTCCTGTTTTTTTCCTGAAGAGTCTGTATTAGCGGGTCCATGTCACCAGGTGACAGTGGCAACATGTCTAAGTTTTGATCTAACGCATTGATCCCTTCAGAGTTAGGTGAGCCTTTGTCCTTGCATTTCTTCAGCTCGCTCCGGAGTTTGGTAATCTCCGAGTCTTTTGTCTTCGCTTCTGCCAGGAGCTCCTTGACCTGGGATTCCAGAATGGCCTTCTCCCCGGTTTCATTTTCTTGCTTGGACTTGGCCGAGGGGCGCAGGTGTTTGGTAGGCGTCGGCGTGCCGCTAGAAGTCGGGCTGGGCTGAGTTTTCCGAGCGTTAGCTGGTCCACGCAACACTGCCCTCTCTCTGGAGACGGTGGATGGGGTCTCCCGAGGAGCTGGAATCCCCGTGCGCTTGGCTGATGAAACTGCTCCTTGAAGCAAAAGACAGAAGAGAGGAGACAAATTACCTCATGTGCCAGACAAGTCAACATCTATGTGATCCATAACAACAAAGCTATGGCCTAGAGCCAGCAGGAGAAAACACCTGGGTGTCTGAATAGCTTCACACCTAGCCAAAGATCTGGATTTCTACTTGACGGACATTCGTCTTTATGTTGTATTCCTTCCTTCCCCCAGAAAGAAGAAGAGCCTGCCGGCCTAGCTTGTTGCGCAATGGGAACCATAATCTACAGCGTTTTTAAAGTGCAACCCCAAATGCCACGATATTAATTATATGACAAAAACAAAGGAGTCTTTGATTATTTTAAGTACATTATGCTAATTGCATTGAGATGCTTAATTAAAAACTGACTAACGGTTCCTAAAAGAAAGCCCACTAACCAAGGACAGGCTGTTGGCTTTGATTATCAAAATGGGTTTTAACAGCGTGTACAAAATTAGCATATTTGCATTTTAATCACTACTGGAGAGTTTTAATGAGAAAGAAAATTAACTGAAAACCAACAGGTAGAGATGGATAATGGGCAGGGACAGGTTTTTGTTCAAAGAAATAATTCAAAATCTGCTTGGAAGGTGCAACTTATGTTACTCACAGGCCCAAAATCCACCTGGTTAGCACTGCTTCCCAGCATGCTCAATGGAGCAATGGTTCGCTTGACTTATACGAAGGGCAGATGGATCAGAGAGCTGCTTGCAACACAGAAAGCATCTTGGGTTTATTGGGAGATGACTTGCATTTGTTTTTTTTGGTTGGAAGCAGCAATTATTTCAAGGCATGTGACCCTGAGAGCCATCTAAGATAGAAACCAAAGGCATGCCTCACTGGAAAGCCAGGAATCCCTGCTTTCCACTAACAGATGGAAGTTCCCTCCATCTTTCAAAGTTCATGAGATGGTATCTTAAAATCTCATCATCTCAGTTATATTCTTGCATGTTGTCCTGTGCTTATTGGAGAACATCTTGACCTGACAGCTAGACAATGTGTCCTCCGCAAGGGAGCTGGGTCCTCATACAGAGCGGGTGACAAGGGGTTTCTGGACTAGAGAAAGTCTTACCACTGGAAAGGCAAACAAGGAAAATGCTGTCTCCGCAGCTTCACAGCAATGCAGAAAACAATATGGGGAATTCACCCAGAACTTTTCGCACTGTAAATATCCTAGCCAAGCACTGGAAGAAATTAAGTTTTGCAGGATTTGGAAGCCTTTCTCTGGATGACGCACATGAAGCTCCTATACATGCAAAGGGCTACTAGTGCCAAGGGGAGACACTAAAACTCAGCTGCTGCATGATTTTCTGGCTCCCGTGTTACACAACAAGTAGAGCCCAGATTCTCCCAGGACTGAGAAAGACCCAGCGAAGATCTGGCGGGGCGCTGAAGAGTTAAGGTTGCCCACACAGTGTTTGCTCAGCAGCTCTCCAGGGAATGCAATACATTTATGAAACCCCCACAACCAGGGGCATCTTCTCCTTTCTTCCACGCACACCCACACTGCAGCCAGAACAATAAGCACTGTAGGGGGGGGGAATGATGAGCAGGCTGAAAATACCCCTTGAAGTACAGAGAGGACTTTTCTCTGGAAAAAGCACAGTAACTTCTCTGTTACGGCCAAAGCATGATAAGGCAGAAGACAAAGGCTGCAGTGTTTATGGGAAGAGATAGCAGGAATATTCTGGCCCAACTGCAGACAGCCCACACAGCATTCAGTCATCTACAGCTGGAGAAGGCAGCACATCCCGCCGAGGAGCTGGGAGCCGCCTTGGAGTGCAGTGCAAGCAGAGATGGCTGTTTTTCCACTGCATTTCAAAGGGCGCCGGAGGAACGCCGGAGCTTCACGCTCACTTCCCTTGTCACATTAGGGGAGTGCAGGTGCATTGTTCGAGCCATGGGAGGGTCCCACTACCTAAGCCAAGGGCTGGCACCTCTCAACTGCGTTCCCATCCAGCGCAGGGGGAGAATGAGGCCCTTGGTTTCTATGCAACTAAGACCACAAGACGGAGGATGTGGGGAAACGAAATGGTCTGTGTGATGCGAGGCAAGTGTCACGCCCAGCTGAGGAAAGCTTAATGCAGTTTTTCTCCCACGGAGGTTCAAATGCGGGAGCCCCAGAGAGTGAGGGGCCTTGTCCGAACCTTAGCCGAACCTTTCACGCTCAACGGTGCATTGCTCAAAGCCGACAGCTACCTGCCACGTGTGTAGAGCACGGTCAAGGCAACTATAATCACACCACAGATTTCAGGCACGGAAATGCATTAGGGATGAAAATAGATGGGCACAGGCCGAGGAGAGAATTTAAAGCCCCGTGTTATTTCTTGGACAGTTATTAAGCGCGAGGGTTGTTACAGCCATTTGCAAACCATACAGTCAGAGCTGGGGCAGGACGCACTGTACGGGTTATTTCAGCTGGCGGGCCTGGGCAACACAGCCACTTTTCCACCTGGGCACACCTGAGCCACGGTAGGACAGAAAAGGAGCAACCCCCCTGCCATGGGCTGTTCCATGTGCAGCAAGTTTGGGCCCCTCAAAGCCAGTGACACAACCTCGTTGCCAGCTTAATCCCAACAAGGAGGTTGCGTTACAATGTGGAGCAATGTGGTCACAACTGATGCACCTGCCCAGTGTTGCGATGAAACAACGCTGTCCCTGAGAACAACGCAACAGCTCTGCTGGCCGGCCCAGGCAGCCTCTCGTTCCAGGTCCAGCCGGCCTCTCGTTCCCACCGCATGATGACGAGGATTTCACAGAAGAGAGCCATAAGTATCCAAACGAAGCACATCTAACCAGTACAGGCTGCACTTCACCAGCGTGCCAAGCAGCACAGGCTTCAAACCCAGCTGAACGTGCCAGCAGGGCTCTCAGGCTCCATGCTCTGCTGACTTGTTCCCTATAAATCACCATGTGTTTGCCATCTCTCAGCACTGACAACCCTGCCTGCTTTCTCCTGCTGTTCACGTGCCTGATGCCTCCTTGTGAGGTTGCAAAGACAAGGGAGGAAGGGAGGCACCCCAGAACATACACCAAGGTGCACTCCAAGCCCCACCCTACACTTCGTTCCATGGAGGATGCTTTCCCCACCTCAGATGGAGCGGCCCCATGGTTGCTCAGTCCCGCAGCCTGAGGCCACTGCAGAGCAACGCAGCCAGGCTGAGGACCACCCCAAAGCACTGGAAATGCAGGACAGCTCCGGTTCCCTGTTGTCCCCAAATCCCACCTGCCTCTGATCAATGCTGCCCTTTGGAGCAGGTGCTGTCGTGAGGGCTCTTGGCTCCTGGGGGGCTGCCTGCTCTCACTCGGGGATGCCATTGCTACTCTATTCAGTTATTCAGAAGTAACCCGTGATGCAAAGCACTGCTTTGCATTTTCAAAGTGCTTTAATATGACCAGACCGAGCCATCCTCAAGTCCTTTGACACGGGCAACTGTCATGTCTGCTTTACAGGTGGAGAAACAGAGGCACGGGGAGGTAAAAATGCAGGTCTCCTGGGGAGGATAAGAAAACTAAGGGTTTCTGGCTCCCACCTGCTGCTTCCTTCTCCAGCTCACAGCACTCTCTGCCAGTGGATATTCCCTGCCTTTCAGTTCTTGCCAAAAGCAGGACTTTAATGAGATAAGGCTTGGCTCGTCAAGATGGTCTTGAGCCATTTCAATCCCATTGCTAAGGCCTGCTGCAGCATTTCTCCCTTAGAAGGCATGCTTCGGGTGGCACTTCACAGCTTTTCCTCATTATGCTTCCACTCTATTTTTGTGCTAAGCTCCCCACATCTGTCACAGGAGCTTGTGAGGGGCACCCAGTGGAAGGGCACAACTCCCTGGCTCCAGGCTGGAATGCAAGTCAGCTGAAATCACTGCCTCGTTTAGGGCCTCTGCTTAGAAATGAAGCCTGCGGGATTTGGCAGTTGCAGACATGACTAATACCGATAAGGCAAGGACCAGGCAAGGTGGCAAATATCTTGGCAATGCTTAAAGCCACAAGAGCTGGTCTGAGATCCATCATACCCTCTGCTTGCTTGGCTTATGAAGCCTGTTATTGTATGCTGGCAACACAGAAAAAAGCATTTTTTTTTTTTTTTTCTAACTATAACCTGAGTAGTTGCAGAAAGCCAGTGGATGCCTGATAGCAAAGCTGGGGGGCAGATAAGAAATATCTGCCTCTTATGATAGCTGTGTACTCTGTTTTGCACAGCGTGTTGCGAGAGCAAGGGAGAAAATCTTACAGGTGGACGGACGCAGATCCATTGTGTTTCTATGCGTAGATTAGGAGTCACTTGTGAAGAATACCCGCGCTTTTGTGCAAGACATTAATCAGAATGACCGCACGTCTTCCCCTGTGAGGGTTCAGAGGTGCAAGAAGGCCACAATTCCTGCTGTACGTGGGTATTTCTGTGTGCTTTGTGGGAGGTTTAGTTTAGTGCATGCATGCACTTTAATATGGCGAGGCTGGACATTTCAGTGAACCGTGCAGTGCATGACTCAGATTGCAATGGTACAATACTTTCTGTGGTTGCTTTTTTTTTTTTAAACAAGCAACAGTGAACACGTTGCATGTTGAGAGCAGTAAAATAAATTATTGCATGGCCACAAAGCATGGTAGGGCTGCAAAGTTAAAAGTCATTAACACGGCAAGATAACAAAAGGCGTCTGCAAACAAGTGACTGTGTTTTTATGGGCTCTGTCCCACAGTCCTCCCCAAAAGCCGCGTTTGCGACAGACTTGCCTTTTTCACTCTCTCCCTCCCTTTTCTGACCAGTTCCCTTTCTTATGCTGGTGGGATGGGGGACAAAACCAACAAAAATGAATGAATGGCTAGGTAAAGAGGATACCAGCTATGGTGTATGCAGCTTGAGATGGTGGGTGGTGATGGGTGTAGGGGTCCATCAAAAGCATACTAGCAACAGTCTTTTTACCTTAGCCTGAAGGCTGCCCTTCTTCTGGGGGACATCAGCTGGTGGTGCAAGCCCAAATAGCATGAAAGTAT